GGGTTTCACCATGTTGACCAGGATGGTCTCGATCTCTTGACCTCGTGATCCACCCGCCTCAGCCTCCCAAAGTGCTGGGATTACAGGCTTGAGCCACCGCGCCCGGCTACATGTGTGTTTTTAAACAATATGCCCTCTTCCTCTTCCCCACTCCACCCCACAAAAAAGTGGGGAAGGCAGTTCCTGGTGGGCCACACCTGAGTCTGCATCTCCCCCATTCCATCCTCACCTCAGGCCTCCCTTCCGCTGAAGCTATGGCCTGTTTCCTTGCTTACTTCCCAGACTTTTCTACAAACACACAATCCACCCTATGGCATGCCAAGGCTGCTCTGCTCCCATAACTGCCAATGCCCAGCGAAACAGGAGGTCTCAAAGTCAACTGCCAAGCTGCCTTCTTCACTCCAGAGCCAGGCTCCAGGGAACGCTGAAGATTTATCCCAGCTGACCAATAATGGAAACAGTAACTACTGCCCCTTAAAATGTATATAGCACTGTGAAGTTTAAAAAGTCCTCCCACACACATTTAATCTTCACAAAACCTACTGAGGCAAACAGAGCAGATATCCCCATTTAACAGAAAAGGAAACCAAGGCACAGAAGGGTTGAGTGAAAAGCAAAGCTAGTGAGTGGCAGAGCTTTGAACCCATAAAGTGACTCCAAGGTCGGAGCTCTTTAACATAGCCATTATTAGCAAACTATTTTTAATCTGACAACCGGAAATTAAGAGTCAGAGAATCTTTAATATATCCTCTAATCTACTAACCTCTTAGTAGTCATGTATAAAACACATAAGGCCCAGAAAAACTACATGATTGCCCAAAGTCGTCAGCTAGTAAGTGACAAAGTAGGTCTGAAGGCACAATCTTCAGACTCTCAGGCCAGTGCTCACTCCCGTCGTCCCTAGAGAGACAGAGATGATCTGTAATAGCTGGTCTCTCATCCGGTGTCTTCTGCTTAACCAACGCCAATCAGGAATTAAAATCCTAAAAGTGTAGAATGTTAGAGCCAGAAAGGACCCTGAGGACCACTCAGGCAATGCCCTGGCTTCACAGATGAGGAATGTGAGTCCAAACCCCTCATGTTCCGTTCTGTGTATATTGCACCCATCACATTACTTCGCTTCCCAACACAGTCAGAAATTAAATCCGGCCAAAGATGTTTACTTCCTTCTTTGACAGTCTTTTTGACACTCGGTGTGAGACGCCACAGATCAGCAAAGCGAAAGTGAAATTAAACAGGATTTGGCATTCAGAAGATACTTGGTTGGTAACATATTTGCCCACCATGACAGTACCACAAAATAACCACCTTCTGCTGGGTTCCAAGGAGGCTCCCCAACGCTGCCTTTGCCCTCCACCTCCCCTCCCCAGTGAGCCAGAGTCTATTGAACTGTGTCCCTGGTTTAGGAAAGGGCGCCCAGGGTCCTCCAGAAGTCACAAGGCCCTACAGTCTGTGAAAATGTAGCAATACTCTGGCCAAAGGCTTCTACTCCACAAATCAAGGAGGAGCACCTCCCCAGGCTGTCCCTCCTCCTAAGGTCACTACCTCGGTACCATCGAAATCCGCACGTGACTGTTCATCCATCACCTTGATTCTTCGGCAGTTTCTTGGTCCCACGGCTAGCCTCATCTCTTCAGTGAGACGGGAAGCTCTTTGAGGGAAAGGGACCACTTCCTCTATTGAACAGCTACTACGTGCCAGACAATGTGCTTGGCAGGGTAAGACATGGCCCCTACCTTCAAAAAACTTACAGAAGGATAAGCAAAACCATGTGCAAAACCAAGCGCAGTCACGGAGGCGTAAACAGGAAGCCAAGGAGCCCAGAAGAGGCGCATCTACTGGTGGGGTGGGGTAGTTGCCCGGTCTTAAAAGGCAAAAGAAGGCGGGAGGGCAGGCTAGGCAGGAAGGCCAGCGTCAAGGAGAGAAGCAGCTTGGTTTACAGGAGATAAACAGTTCGACGTTGCTGGAACATCAAGCGCAAGGCAGGGAGCGGTGGGAGTTCAGGCTGGAGCGCTGGGGCCTAGCAAGGTGGCCGCAGGCACAAGCCCGCGTAATTCCCGGCGGCTGGGTACAGGGAGGGCCGCTTACGCAATTCGCAAGTGAACGAATTTGGGCGCCCATGGCGAGGCTCTATCAATGATGGTCGGTGGTGGCGCCGCCAGCCCCCCTCCCCCGTGCACCTGTGCGCCTTCGCAGCTGCCAAAGCAAACGCAGGCTGCCCGACTTCGCCAGATTTTCAAAGCGGGCCACCAGCCCCAGGCCACGGCCAAGGCTACAGCCATGGCTGTCCTGGGCCCCCCGACCCCGGACCCCTCGTTTATCCACTCTGGTTACAGCGCCTGTTGACGCACTGTGGCGGCCGCCTGCGCGCCAGAGGAGCCCAGCGGTTTTCCCGGCAGTAGCCACGGGGTTTTCCCGAAGAAGCGTCCCTGCGGGCCTCCCCGACCCGGGGCTGGGGAGGCTGGGGGCAGCGAAGGCTGCCTCGGCCCAGGCGGGGCACGGCGGCGGGGAAGGGGCCGGGGCCGCGGCCGCCGGGGCTTGCGCTAGGCGCAGTGCCGGAATCTGTCCTCCCGGGACAGCGCGGCGGGAAACAAACAGGACAAGCGCCCTAGTCTCCGCGCCCGCGCCCCCAGGGGTGGCAGCGGCCCCAGAGGGCGAGGGAGGAAGCTCAGGCTCCGGAGCTGCCAGGCTCAGGCCGGGCTGGGGCTGGGGCAGGCGCCCGCGGCGGGGGCGCAGCGGCGCCCGGGAGCGGCTTGGGGCAGGGGTGCGCTCGGCCGGGGCGCTTGGTGGCCCCGGGCCCGCGCGCCGGCGCCCAGGCCGCTGTTATTACCTGGCCAGTGTTGTTTTCCCGGAGCCCGGGAGGCCTCGCAGGAGGTAGAGGTGTTTCCTAAAGCTGTGGCGGCGCGGAGGTGTCCCCCGCGGGGGCGGCCGGGGTGGCGGCTGCCGCTGCCGCTGCTGCTGGAGGCTCAGCCTCCCAAAAGACTCAAGGAAACTGTCCTCCATGGGCAGGAGGGCTGGCTGCGAGAGCCCCGGGTTCCCTTTCCTGAAGTCACGGTCTTGGCCAAAGCTGTTGTTTTTGTGACTCTCCGGCCATGTGATGGATAGAGGGGCGGGCGCTGGGAGCCCAGCCCCTCCTTCCCACCCGCCGGAACCGCGCTGCGTGGGAGGGGGCGTCCCTACCTGGAAAGCTGGGGACGCTGGGAGACTGACAGCCCGGAAAACAAGGGTGACGCACCCACCCGCACCTCGACCCCCGCTCCGCCTCCTGGTGCCTCCTGGTGCCCTTCGCCCTGATAGAGGGGAGGGGAGGGGGCCCCGTCTAGTGGGTCTCTGGGACACTTTTCCGGCCTGGAAGCCTGGCCTCCTGCCACAGCCCTCCCCAACCCCAGCCCCGACCTGCCTAGACCCTGAAAGTGAAATCATTTTAGTTGATGATTAATGAGCATGCCTGGGGTTGTAAATGGTAACAGTAAAGGCCATTGTCTCCCCCGATTTGTGAGCACCAACATCTGGCCGGCGTCCCAAGGGCTACCACCACTCTCCCAGGGCCTGTATCTTTTCGTATTTCATCCTCCTTTAGTGGCCTGCCAAAAATATTATTAGAAAGCTTTGTTGCCTCTACATAACTTTAAATCTCTTCCTCCTCAGAAAAAAACACCCATAAAACTCAGGCTGATTTATGAACAGTAGCATAGGACTACCGCCCAGGCACCTGCCCTGTTGCCGCCTGAGAAGTGGGGGCTTCTTGGAGAACTCTTTCAGATCCCTGAGAAAAGCGGCAGAGACTACTGAAACCATTTATAGAGAAGTATCCAGACTGAAGTTCTCAGTTCCAGGAACTAGGGAGCACCCATTGGTTGATCACCATAGTGACTCTCCAATAGTTCACCCTCAAGAACGTGATACAGTGATCCTATTTTCTGAACCAAAATTCATCATGCCTGCCTGAAAGAAACAGTATTCAAAACTGACACCATCCTGGGAAATCCAGAATATATGGTGGCTTTGGCTATAATAATTATTGTAAAGTAATAAATTCTGTTTCTGGCAGCTAAGATACTAAAATTGTGAAAAGAAACTATGAAAAAAGTGTGATTTCCTTCTAAACCAAAATCCAGAGATTTCAGTTAGTTAGCTTTTAGGAAGGGACTATCCAAGCAGGATGGGGCTTTGTGCTGAGAACTTCCCCTTCCCCTTGGGATTTCCCTCTAAGGGTGGGGTAGGACGGAGTGGGAGATGAGCTGCTCTCCCTTGAAAATCCCTTCCCAGCATGGAGGAAGAATACTTGCTTCATTCTTCTCAGCACTGCTAAGAAAGAATGGAATTTCAGAGACCTCTAAATATTAGAAGAGAATCCATAAGGAACAGAAAATACACATGAATCATAAAAATAGTGCCACAATCTCTGTATCCTATCATACTCACAGGAGTGTTTTGCCCAGCCTCACAGGCTACCTTTTTCATTTTAAACTGCACTGGCTAATATGGGGGCCACTGGTCACATGTGGCTAGTGAGCACTTGAAATGTGGCTACTGCAAACATGTTGCGCCCTGTGCAGTGGCTCACATCTGTAAGCCCAGCACACTGGGAGGCCAATGCAGGAGGATCACTTGAGGCCAGAAGTTTGAGACCAGCCTGGGCAACATAGTGAGACGCTGTCTCTACCAAAAATTCAAAAATTAGCCAAGTGTGGTGGTGTGTGTGCCTGTAGTCCTAGCTCCTTTGGGGGCTGAAGTGGGAGGATCACCTGAGCCAGGGAGTTTCAGGCTGCAGTGAGCTATGATGGCACCACTGTACTTGAGCGTGGGCAACAGAGCAAGACCCTGTCTCCTAAAAAACATAAAGTAAATTTTAAAAATACACATTGAATTTTGAAGATTCCATATGAAAAAAAAATATTTCATTAAAAATTTTTACATTGGTTCTATATTGAAATGATATGCTGGGTATATTGGGTTATGTTATTAGAATTAATTTCATTTATTTTTATATTTTATTATGGCTACTAGAGAGTTAAAGTTACATACGTGGGTGGCATTATATTCCTACCAGACAGGGCTGCATAAGCCTCCATCCACTTCCATTTCCCTCTGTTAAGAGGTCCCAGGCAGCAGCCTCAGACCTGCAGCTTTGTGGGTAGAGGGTTTGGCACAGGGCTTGTGGCAAGTGGAGCTATCTAACAGATGCCAGGAAACATGAGTGTGCTCCTTGGAGAAAGGGCTGAGCTCAGAGCTTTGGAAATCCTTGCCCCTACGAGGAGATAGAGAAGAGAGCAGACAGCTGAGGAAGGGGTCCTGAGGACACCAGCATTTAAGCACTGCGCCCTCAAGTGGATCTAGCAAAGGAGAGAACAATTGAATGACCGACAAGTAAACAGAACACTGAAAGAGGTGTAGGGAAGCCCAGGGAGGGAGAGTTTCAAGGAGGAGAACATGGTCAGCAGTACCTGGAAACGATCCTAGACGCTTTCCTTTCACTTTTCTTTAGTTGACATTTAACTGGTCAACAAGCTCTGTTTTCCCCAATGTATTCCTCAAAATCACGGTTTAAAGTAAACTGTTTGGGTATCTGTTTCCTCTCACTAGAGGCAGTGAGAGGGCAGGGATAGAGTCTCATTTATCCTTGTCAGCCCAGGATCTAACACAGTGCCTGACATTCAGAAGGTGCTTGATAATTGTATATGAACCTAAACTATTTTCTTAGAAGATGACCTTGAGTTTGGGATTTACTAAAAATAAAGGCTGAATGATAGTGATAATGTAAAGGAGTAACATAGAGCCAGCACAAGCTCATTTTGCTGCACTAGAAACCATTACCATGATGGACATAAAATAATCTTAAAAACACCATTTTTGGCAAATGAAGAAACCTTCAAATGTTCCTGTAACTATCACTGTTTAACAAGATGCGGAGAAGTAAGAAGATGTGAAGGAAGAGCTAATGTAAACTGGGAATGTAACCCACAAACCTAGAGCTCCAAATAACCCTGGACTTGGAATGCTTAGCAATCAATCAGTGGCCAGGCATGGTGGTTCAGGTCTGTAATCCCAGAAGCTTGGGAGGCTGTGGCAGGAGGATCACTTGAGGCCAGGAGTTTGTGACCAGCCTGGGCAACACAGCAAGACTCCTTTATTAGGATTCTCTAGAGGGACAGAACTAATAGAAGATATATATATATATAAAGGGGAGTTTAGTAGGTAGTATTAACTCACATGATCACAAGGTCCCACAATAGGCCAGCTGCAAGCCGAGAAGCAAGGAGAGCCAGTCCGAGTCCCAGAACTGAAGAACTTGGAGTCTGATGTTCAAGGGCAGGAAGCATCCAGCATGGGAGAAAGATGTAGGCTGGGAGGCTAAGCCAGTCTAGCCTTTTCACATTTTCCTGCCTGCTTTATATACTGGCCATGTTGGTAGCTTGATTAGATGGTGCTCCCCCAGATTAAGGGTGGGTCTGCCTTTCCCAGCCACTGACTCAAATGTTAATATCCTTTGGTATCACCCTCACAGATACACTCAGGATAATTCTTTGCATCCTTCAATCTAATCAAGTTAACACTCAATATTAACCATCACAACCCCATCTCTATTTTATTTTATTTATTTATTTTTATTTATTTATTTATTTATTTTTTTGAGACGGAGTTTCACTCATGTTACCCAGGCTGGAGTGCAATGGCGCGATCTCGGCTCACTGCAACCTCCGCCTCCTGGGTTCAGGCAAGTCTCCTGCCTCAGCCTCTTGAGTAGCTGGGATTACAGGCACGCACCACCATGCCCAGCTAATTTTTGTATTTTTAGTAGAGACAGGGTTTCACCATGTTGACCAGGATGGTCTTGATCTCTTGACCTCGTGATCCACCCGCCTCGGCCTCCCAAAGTCCTGGGATTACAGGCTTGAGCCACCACACCCGGCCTCTATTTTAAATAGTTAAAAATTAGTCAGGCATTGTGGCACACACCTGTGATCCCAGACTGGAGAGGCTGAGATTGGAGGATCACGAGCTCAGGAGTTCCAGGCTGCAGTGAGTTACGATTGCACCACTGCACTCCAGCCTGGGCAACAGAGCATGGCTTTGTATATTTAAAAAAAAAAAAAAATCATCTATCAGCTCCAGGTTCTCCTGCCCAGGGATGCCAAAATAGCAGAAAGTCTGAAACCAAGATGAAGCTTCCAACACAGCATAACAAAGGCCTTTTAATATAATAGAACCATGATAAATATTATAGTAGGAGCTTTCCCAAGTCTCTCTAGTCCTATGTCCAGAAAAACTTTTTTCTGATTTTTAAAAATATACTCAAAAATGTAAATGAGTTTTATATACAGACTTACTCATCTTATGTATATATAAGTGATATGTGAATTGAGAGGACAGGAAAGAAATCTATCTGCCTGCTTAGCCATTCCTATGATGGGTTTCTGATCTGTTTAAGACCTTCTGCCAGATTCCGATGGAAATGCAGGATCCAGGCAGTCAAAGGAGGACTTTGTCTCCGCCTCCCCTAACACTGCCTCCTTCCTGGCTCTTCCCTTGTCCTTCCCCTTGAAGCCTGATAGAGGCTTTGGGAAGCAGAAAGAGGCTAGGGGAGGGGAGACCAGGGAAGAAAAGCAATGGGAAAGATGTCAGCTTAGCTGAATTGGTAGGGGAAAATGCCCAGGGCTCTGGTGGCTTTGGATAAGTCTGGATATTTCCAACACAGAAATATTCCCTGGATGAGGCTGACTTTGGTCACCCTGCCCCCACTGCTTTCTGGGTTCCATCCCTCTTTTTGGTGTCAGACTCCTCCCCCAAGGGGAGGACGGGGTATCCTATTTCCACAGTACCTAATATTTGCCACTGTGCACAGGGACACTCAGTATGAGCTTCAGGAAGGGAATCTGGGTGGGAGGAGAGGAGCCCAAACCCATTTCTTTACTGCTCCATTCTGGAAATTAGGGCAAAGTCATGAGGGCAGGGGCTGGAGAGAGCTGGGGGCTTTCTGGAACACAGGTAGAAGCCTAGGTGGCTGTTCAGGTGGCATGCATCAGTACAGCATAAAAGTGCTCCAGAACTGGTCCTGCCCACACCACCCATTGTCAAATGTTTTGAATATTACTCTTGGGTATCACCATGATGGTGCGAATTCTATTATATTCACTAGAAAGCCACAAATGCTTTGCTGTGGAAGGCCCCC